ATAATGCAAAATTCATCCATGAAATACTTAACGGGAGGACAATCAGCACGCATCTGGTATTGGTGTATTTGGGAGCATCTGACGAGTCCTTCACACAACATCACTTAATTGTAAATATCTTAGGGAATGAATATGTGGTGTGTCACTATCTACCAAACTGTTTTCAGAGTTCTTTTTCATCTTTGTAACCCACAGGTGCCAGAACCAAAAAATCCGTCCCTGCGTTTACATACACACTTTTCTAATCTGATCAATGTTATATGTAAACATTAAACTCCCTGTGTGTTATCAAAATCTATTTCAAGCTTATCTCTACTTTTATTTAATTACTGCGCTAATTTGCTCTCAACACAATGTATTTATTCGTTAAAGCAGTAAGTTAATTCCCTGATTATCAGTAATTTACATTAATGTTAATCCCTGTTGAGGAATTTATTCCGCATAACTAAAGACAATCATTATTCACAACCTACTTATTGCTAACTTACTCTCCTCCAAGATTGTTTGGTCCATTTATTCCGTTTTACTCCGTTAATGTAATTATCTGTTGTCTCTTTCATAAAATTTATGGTGACATTCTGGTTTGTGCTGATGCATTACACTTGTCTACGTGTCGACACTACACTTTTTACCTCAGGGTGTCGGCACCACACTTTGTACCTGAGAGTGTCGACACTGCACCTTGGACCTTAGAGTGTCGACACCACATCTTGTACCTCAGAGCGTCTACACTACATCTTGTACCTCAGAAAATCGACACTACACCTTGAACCTCGAAGTGTCGACAGTACATCTTGTGGGTCAGTGTCGACACCACATCTTGTACCTCAGAGTGTCTACACTACACCTTGTACCTCAGAGTGTCGACACTAATCCATGTGCCTCAGAGTGTCGACACTAATCCATGTGCCTCAGAGTGTCGACATGTACCTCAGAGTACTGACAGCATAATGGGGATTATTTACGGCTGGACTAGCTAACTGCAGGCTAACATTCTACTGACATAAAAATTTACTTCTAATAATTAGAAATTTATTTCTGACAATTATGAATTTATAATCCTTTATAGTGAATTATTCATAATTCACCCTGACAATTATGAACTTATAATCCTTTATAGCAAATTATTCATAATTCACCCGTGTTCCTTATTTCCAATTATTTCAATTGTATTTTCACTTTTAGATGTCATAATCTTTATTTATTAACATAATTAATGGTTGCTAGTAATGTATGTTTGACTTTTACATCGAAATATTCCATGTAAATGATCTAAACATAGTTTGCATTAACAGCGTTTAACTCACAACAGAAAGAACATGTGTTTGATCCTCGTGATGGGATGAAGCAACAGGCAAATATATTTACACTTGCATAATAGATTAACGCAGCACTAGACAAATGATTTAGAAATACACGTGATCACAGAAGATAAAAAGGATAGTGTATATATAGAACGAAAAAGAATACCACGACTGGAACAATACACAAATAACCCGTACATAGGAGAGAGGAGCTTACGATGACGTTTCGGTCTGAGTTGTACCATTTGCAAAGTCACAGTGACTGTAAATGGTGTATTGTTTCAGTTACGGTATTGTGCCTTTTTCTTCTCTCTCTCTCTCTCTCTCTCTCTCTCTCTCTCTCTCTCTCTCTCTCTCTCTCTCTCTCTCTCTCTCTATATATATATATATATATATATATATATATATATATTTTTTTATTATCACACTGGCCGATTCCCACCAAGGCAGGGTGGCCCGAAAAAGAAAAACTTTCACCATCATTCACTCCATCACTGTCTTGCCAGAAGGGTGCTTTACACTACAGTTTTTAAACTGCAACATTAACACCCCTCCTTCAGAGTGCAGTCACTGTACTTCCCATCTCCAGGACTCAAGTCCGGCCTGCCGGTTTCCCTGAACCCCTTCATAAATGTTACTTTGCTCACACTCCAACAGCACATCAAGTATTAAAAACCATTCGTCTCCATTCACTCCTATCAAACACGCTCACGCACGCCTGCTGGAAGTCCAAGCCCCTCGCACACAAAACCTCCTTTACCCCCTCCCTCCAACCTTTCCTAGGCCGACCCCTACCCCGCCTTCCTTCCACTACAGACTGATACACTCTTGAAGTCATTCTGTTTCGCTCCATTCTCTCTACATGTCCGAACCACCTCAACAACCCTTCCTCAGCCCTCTGGACAACAGTTTTGGTAATCCCGCACCTCCTCCTAACTTCCAAACTACGAATTCTCTGCATTATATTCACACCACACATTGCCCTCAGACATGACATCTCCACTGCCTCCAGCCTTCTCCTCGCTGCAACATTCATCACCCATGCTTCACACCCATATAAGAGTGTTGGTAAAACTATACTCTCATACATTCCCCTCTTTGCCTGCAAGGGCAAAGTTCTTTGTCTCCACAGACTCCTAAGTGCACCACTCACCCTTTTCCCCTCATCAATTCTATGATTCACCTCATCCTTCATAGACCCATCCGCTGACACGTCCACTCCCAAATATCTGAATACATTCACGTCCTCCATACTCTCTCCCTCCAGTCTGATATCCAATCTTTCATCACCTAATATTTTTGTTATCCTCATAACCTTACTCTTTCCTGCATTCACTTTTAATTTTCTTCTTTTGCACACCCTACCAAATTCATCCACCAATCTCTGCAACTTCTCTTCAGAATCTCCCAAGAGCACTGTGTCATCAGCAAAGAGCAACTGTAACAACTCCCACTTTATGTGTGATTCTTTATCTTTTAACTCCACGCCTCTTGTCAAGACCCTCGCATTTACTTCTCTTACAACCCCATCTATAAATATATTAAACAACCACGGTGACATCACACATCCTTGTCTAAGGCCTACTTTTACTGGGAAATAATTTCCCTCTTTCCTATGTACTCTAACTTGAGCCTCACTATCCTCGTAAAAACTCTTCACTGCTTTCAGTAACCTACCTCCTACACCATACACTTGCAACATCTGCCACATTGCCCCCCTATCCACCCTGTCATACGCCTTTTCCAAATCCATAAATGTCACAAAGACCTCTTTAGCTTTATCTAAATACTGTTCACTTATATGTTTCACTGTAAACACCTGGTCCACACACCCCCTACCTTTCCTAAAGCCTCCTTGTTCATCTGCTACCCTATTCTCCGTCTTACTTTTAATTCTTTCAATAATAACTCTACCATACACTTTACCAGGTATACTCAACAGACTTATCCCCCTATAATTTTTGCACTCTCTTTTGTCCCCTTTGCCTTTATACAAAGGAAATATGCATGCTCTCTGCCAATCCCTAGGTACCTTACCCTCTTCCATGCATTTATTAAATAATTGCACCAACCACTCCAAAACTATATCCCCATCTGCTTTTAACATTTCTATCTTTATCCCATCAATCCCGGCTGCCTTACCCCCTTTCATTTTACCTACTGCCTCACGAACTTCCCCCACACTCACAACTGGCTCTTCCTCACTTCTACAAGATGTTATTCCTCCTTGCACTATACACGAAATCACAGCTTCCCTATCTTCATCAACATTTAACAATTCCTCAAAATATTCCCTCCATCTTCCCAATACCTCTTCTATTTTTAACTGACAAATCCATTTGTTCTCTAGGCTTCCTTAACTTGTTAATCTCACTCCAAAACTTTTTCTTATTTTCACCAAAATTTGTTGATAACATCTCACCCACTCTCTCATTTGCTCTTTTTACATTGCTTCACCACTCTCTTAACCTCTCTCTTTTTCTCCATATACTCTTCCCTCCTTGCATCACTTCTACTTTGTAAAAACTTCTCATATGCTAACTTTTTCTCCCTTACATCATCATTCCACCAATCGCTCCTCTTCCCTCCCGCACCCACTTTCCTGTAACCACAAACTTCTGCTGAACACTCTAACACTACATTTTTAAACCTACCCCATACCTCTTCGACCCCATTGCCTATGCTCTCATTAGCCCATCTATCCTCCAATAGCTGTTTATATCTTTCCCTAACTGCCTCCTCTTTTAGTTTATAAACCTTCACCTCTCTCTTCCTTGATGCTTCTATTCTCCTTGTATCCCATCTACCTTTTACTCTCAGTGTAGCTACAACTAGAAAGTGATCTGATATATCTGTGGCCCCTCTATAAACATTTACATCCTGAAGTCTACTCAACAGTCTTTTATCTACCAATACATAATCCAACAAACTACTGTCATTTAGCCCTACATCATATCTTGTATACTTATTTATCCTCTTTTTCTTAAAATATGTATTACCTATAACTAAACCCCTTTCTATACAAAGTTCAATCAAAGGGCTCCCATTATATATATAATATATATATATATATATATATATATATATATATATATATATATAATATATATTATATATATATATATATATATATATACTGTCTATTTAACCTCTGTACGTAAGAAGTGGTCAAGATCCCAGGGGCAAAACGTTTTCTAACAAATGTGTTGTGGTGTTTGCTCACGTGACTTTCTAAACCAGTTTGTCGATATCGAATACCAAGATATATACTAGGACCTAGTTTGTGAGCACCTAGTAACTAGGTTCTCACAAACTATTGTGCGGAGAATTCTGCGGAGCAATATTATATAACCCGTCCCTATTTTGCTATGTAAATTTTCCTTAACTAACAAACTAACAAACCCTTAAACTACAATTACTATTTTCTTTATGTTAAGCATATTAGGATAGGTTGGGTCAGGCTAGTTTAGTATGGATTCCACAAACCTATAAAAATATGAAACACGGTTGTAACACGTCTGGTAATACCATGGTTGAGCAGCACCAGAAATTATTTAAAGCAGCTCACACATCATTCGATATGCGAGAATGTGTGGTATCATACATTGGTGCTGCGCTTTTAAACTAGTTGATGTAAGGATAACAGTTCTTAGAGTGTATATTAAACTCTATCAAAATTATTGAGTTTTAACTTACATTGAACGTCGAGTTTCCACTGGTCCTGAAGCGGCCGGTGGTCTATCACAGGAGACTCACCCATACACTTGAGAAACTTGCCCCCGTCAGAGTGTTTAGGTACCAGAAGTAGCTTACTTAATGTGACGTTCCCATTGCTCGACGTCTGTCCAGGAGAGCGAGATAAATGAACATACTTAATTGAGCAATTCAAATTCTTAAAAAGGTACAAAATACTTTTGGTAAAGATTTTTTGGACTAAGTTCCATCAACGGGCTATTCATAATCCTCTTTTTGTCACAGGTCACAACAGTCAAATGGACATTTAGCAGCTTTCTATATTTTGGAATGAAAATATTTTGATAGTTTCTCTGCAGATAGATGGCACTATCTACATAAACACTATTATTTAATTAAAGCCAGTGTTTTGGCCACACAGGGGCTGGTATATAGGCTTCACCAGTAACATCGTAATGTCATTCCGTGAGTGTAGCGTCTTCTTCAAGTGAAATTTTCCTTTGTTAGTTTTGCCCTCGTACGAGCTCTCTCTTCAGCATTTGATGTACTTTACCCTTATAATTTTTATTCAACCTACCCTGTGGTCTCCTGTCATTTAATGTATATGGCAAAAAGTAGTCACTAATCGAAAAATGAAAAAAAAAAAAAAGTTGAACAGACATACTAGTGTGGCAGAAAAAAATTTCACTCATTTCCGTGGACATAGCCTACTATTACTAACTGCTCGAACATTTCTCAGAAATTTTCTCATTACGCTTTGCCGCACTGTTGCTGAAAAAAAGATTGACTATTACTGAATTGAATATCTTACTGAGTTTATCTTATGAAGTTCTTTTTCTTTCATTTCAGAGGTTTTATGTTTTTTTTCTAATTATTGTGGAATATGATTCAATTACAAAAGGATTGGATCACATTTTTAGCTTTTTTTTTGGACCTATAAGTACCAATAAAAGAGAAGCTTGTCTTTCAACACAATGATATGACTTCGGTCTCTTTTTATTTGACAAAATGGAGGAATCCGTTCGTGAATGTTCCCCTACAACACTTGAAAATTGCAAGAGATCTAGATTCCAGTAATGTGAACGAGATCCACGTTCCAGTGACGTGACTGAGATCCACTTTCCAGCAACGTGAACGAGATCCACGTTCCAGTAACGTGAACAAGATCCACGTTCCAGTAACGTGAACGAGATCCACGTTCCAGTGACGTGAACGAGATCCACGTTCCAGCAACATGAACGAGATCCACGTTTCAGTAACGTGAACAAGATCCACGTTCCAGTAACGTGAACGAGAACCACGTTCCAGAAACCTGAACGACGTTCATCTTCCAGTAACGTGGACGAGATTCACGTTCCAGTCACATGAACGAGATCCACGTTCCAGTAACGTGAACGAGATCCATGTTCCAGTAGCGTGAACGAGATCCACGTTCCAGTAACGTGAACGAGATCTACGTTCCAGTAACGTGAACTAGATCCAGGTTCCAGTAACGTGAACGTGATCCACGTTCCAGTAACGTGAACGAGATCCACGTTCCAGTAACGTGAACGAGATCCACGTTCCAGTAGCGTGAACGAGATCCACGTTCCAGTAGCGTGAACGAGATCCACGTTCCAGTAACGTGAACGAGATCCACGTTCCAGTAACGTGAACGAGATTCACGTTCCAGTAACGTGAACGAGATCTACGTTCCAGTAACGTGAGCGAGACCCAGGTTCCAGTAACGTGAACTAGATCCAGGTTCCAGTAACGTGAACGAGATCCACGTTCCAGTAACGTGAACGAGATCCACGTTCCAGTAACGTGAGCGAGATCCACGTTCCGGTAGCATGAACGAGATCCACGTTCCAGTAACGTGAACGAGATCCACGTTCCAGTAACGTGAACGAGATCCACGTTCCAGTAACGTGAACGAGATTCACGTTCCAGTAAGGTGAACGAGATCAACGTTCCAGTAACGTGAACGAGATATACGTTCCAGTAACGTGAGCGAGACCCAGGTTCCAGTAACGTGAACTAGATCCAGGTTCCAGTAACGTGAACGTGATCCACGTTCCAGTAACGTGAACGAGATCCACGTTCCAGTAACGAGATAGAGATCCACGTTCCAGTAACGATAAAGCAACAACGACTGTGAAACCTTTTCTTTTGTTGAGGGGAGAAAGGAGTGGAACGAAGAGAGATGGATGAGTGGAGAAAACTCCAAAAGGGAGAGAAGCTTAGTGGACCAACTTAAATAGTCGAAGACGGTATATTCAAGGCTTCCTGAAGCCTCGAGTTGGACATATCTCTCGTGGATTTTGTAAAAAAGCGAAGAGCCCAAAAGATCTGGAATTCTTTAGGGATGAATTGAAATGAAACGGAAAATAATTTGAAAAGAAATGGAAACTGAATTAAAAAGAAATGAAAATATCCAAGAAATACTGAAAATAAGAGACATGAGAAACGTCATTGTAACAAATTCATCTGAGAGTTCAGATAGTGGAGGAACTCCACCACCACAGATACGTCCGCCTTTAAACATTGTTTACTCGAAGCTCCAGGTTCTCAGGAGCATCATTTTTTTTTTTGGTTACAGACTGGTGATGTATTTTCCCCTAGCAGCTTTGTAAGATCCAGAGGACTTGCCCTCAATCGGTGGACAGTCACGAGGATTAGAATAATGGGCAGCTTCGATATGGTAGGCACTCTCAAAGCAGAGTTCAAATCTGATATATCTCCAATAGTTCCCCGGTACAAGAAAGTACTGCTAGAAGTAACTAGTTACTGTAAACATAAGAAAACTGATTGCCTTCCGATTTTAATGTCCGGTCAGGAAACAGCTTATGAATGCCACATAACTACCGAGTGAAGCTAGAGAGGACACCGCAAATGTTGTGACAGACCAACTGATGAACTGGAGAATCGATGACAGAGTTAAGAAGTTAAGGCCTTGTCGTTTGTCATCATTATTAAAAATTCTTAGAAACTTGGTGCTGCTGCAATTCTCATTGATCGTCATTGATCGGTAGCCAACAACAAATTTTCTACACCTAGCATGACGGCATCACATCACTGAAGAGGTCGTTCATGATGTGGTTTCCCACTTGGTTGGATCTTCTTTAGGTTTCTTATTATCAGACGATTTCGAACGGTATGACCCACGAGCTTTCATCATGAGCAATCAAACAGAAGGTGTTTTAACGATTAGGAAACAGTTCTTCCGCCACAGGTTCAGAATTGGCAGAGTTTTTATGAAGAACAACTTCGCAACAATTTCAGAAAGCTTCTGGAGTTATGCGAAATACTTAGGGTGAGTGATGCCAACTGGGATACAAATCATGGCACCTAGAGCTATGAACAGGGCCAAACGGAAAGCTAAGGTGACATTCTCAGTTAAAATTGTCGTGTTCTTTGCTAAGTTGTAGATGACGTACAGAAAGTTTAAGTTACTTAGAGTAACGAAGCTCTTTACCTGGACAGTGTACATCGATGCTTGGCTCACGGCATCACTTGCACAGCAGGATCGGCTAAATGACTTGCAGCTACTGAAAAGCCTGCTTGAATTCGAAGCTATCAACTGGGGTGTTTTAAAACCAGCCATCAATGGCAAATTGGGTAAGATTCGTCAGTAAACAAAACAAAAGTTTCCTGGCCCGGGTCTTAGTCTATGTTATGACCCATCACAGGAGCTTTAGTCATCTGACGAGGCGTTCCACTGACTTCCCGGGCCCAATTTTTAAAAACTGATCTCTTTACTAAAGGGCTTTTCTCAGTACATCTGGTGCAAGACCGAAGAACTCCTTGGCTCCTCATTTTTTAACTAACACGCCGAAACCGGCATCAAGTAATAGGTTAGGTAAGGTTCGTCAGGAAACAGGACAAGTGTTTCCTGACGTGGGTCGGGTCGATGATGACCACTTTGGAGCTTTTGGTCACAGACCGAACCCTTCCCGGGCTTCCGGTCCCCCCCTTTTAAAAAATTTTATGGTCATTTAAACCATTGTTATTCGATTAGGCTTTAAAAAATGACATACCTCCACGAATGCTCTTTCTTATCAAAAAATAAACAAATTCCATCTCTTCAATCTTTGTGACGGGGAAACACAAGAAACTTCTGTAACTTGGGGTGCAGAAGAAAGCCTTTCTGGGTTCGTTGTTCTTGGGAGAAATATTAAAATTTTAAAAAAAAAACGAGGAGCAAACACTAGGACATGAACCCTAGTTTTTTGGGGTTATGTAATAATCACTAACCAAGTTATTGTACTTTTTCAATATTATATATTCCGTATATAATTGCCTTTGGGAGAAAAATTATTTTTTCACTAAATTTGGATCAGAAAGACATTGAGAGGAACTTAAACCCCAGGAAGCAAAATTTTTCAACTGATTTTTTCCCTAAAATTTGGCTGCATTAAAAATGTATTGGGGGGCTTAAATAGATAGTTCCGGGAAATACAAAAAAATAAAACACATGAGTATAATAAAAGGGAAGGAAAAAATAATTATTGATAAATTTGTAAAGCAGATGGAACAGATATAAAGAAAAATCAGAAAACTAAAGGTACAAATTGGGAAATTTTTTTTTTTTTTTATGAATTATTCTAAGTCTGTTTCCCCGTTTTTAAAAAAATAAAAGGGGGGGGGGTAATTTAAGGGGGGGTTTTTTCCCCCTTAAAAAAATTTTTTCATGAGTACTCCCCCTTCCTTCGGTTCCCTCTTCCCGTTCTTCATCTCACCCATATATTTAAACCTTTTTCACTTCTCATTACCCCCCCCCTCCTTTATCCCCCCTCAACATTTCCTTAATCTATAACTTACAGAATTGTACATTAGCAAGCTGGACACCATCAAGCCCCAGGGAGGACGGGGGGGGTCGAGCTCCCACACACTGACACCCCAACTCGTACCCCTCCCACGAGATAGCCTCGCGGGTTGACAAATCTTCGAGTCAGGCTTAACGCAACCAAAAAAGAGAGAGAGGGAGAGGGGTGACGAAAATTAACCATTAGAGAAAAACACATCAATGATTCGTAGTCATCAGTACCTCATCCCCACATGATCTCACATGAAATGTTTTAACAAAATTTACGAGTGACAGAAATTTAAAGACCACAAAAACATACCATTGATCATGTTAGGCATGTCAAACTCGAACCCATCACAATGTAGACAACGCGTCAGGTTCCAGAAATTGCCCCCCAATAATATTCACTCTGGGGTTTTTATTTTACTTTATGTCATCTCACTGCTGGCACCTCGTAGCAAATATCATGTGGGGGTTCGAACACGTGGATTTTGGGTTTTAAAAAACTCCGAGGCTGGAAATACGTATATTGTAACTGAATATGTGGGAAAGGGGGCCACAGCCAACCTGCCCTTCTGCCCCTTGGCTAGACTGACTGAGGATGCCCATGGCGAGGGGGGTTTTAAATCCTGCAGGTCACAACAATATAATACAGCCAGTGACTCAGGCAAGACGGTTTGTGATCATCTACTGGGGACACTGGTTACTGGTAACGGGTTTCTACTACTGAATCTCTCTCTCAGCTGGGTTAGAAGCTGGGTTGGCTGACTGGTTAACCCACGAGAAGGCTGACTGGAAAAGTGAACGATGCACACAGCACGGAGGAGCAGGTGGATGACAGGAGACAGGCTGGATGAAGGCTGACTGGTTTTACTTCCACAGCTGGCCCTTTCTGACTGGCTTATTGCAAAATCCGGGGCAAAACCCTCGGGGATTGAAGCAAAATTTGCACACAATAAGCCCGAAGCTGAAACGGCGCAACAGGCTTGCAGGCTGGAGGTGTGAGTGAGGGGAGCGAGTACTGGAGTGGGTGAGACGGTTTAAACCCTTTGACCCGCCGGCTACTCACAAAAAGTCCCCCCCCTAAAGCCTTTATTACCCTTAAAAAATTTTAAACCCGATCCCCCCCCGCTGCCACCCTTTATCATGTGGGGGGTTCGAACACTGGATTGGGTAAAAAAAAACTCACGAGGCTGGGAATGATATTGTAACTGAAGTATGTGGGAAGGGGGGCCCCCAAGCCGAACCCCCCTCTCTCTGCCCCCTTTGGTTTGACTGACTGGGGAGTGCCTGGGGAGGGGCGCTGAAATCCGCTAGGTCGCAACAATAGAATAAGCCCCTATCAGGGAGACGGGTTTGGGAGTGAGTCATCTATGGACATGGTTTCTGGTAACGGGTTTCTACTACTGGAAAAAAGACCCCCTATACCTCCCCCTCCACGAGACCC